GTCCCTGTGAGTTTAGAAATCCATCTCTGTAGCACATCTTAGGATGCTGCTAAGAACTGCAAGGGTATGTGGTAGATGTGCATACATCCTTTTTATTGTTAGCTCTGACTTCTTAAATATGTTTCCACTGTGGGTTTATAACAAGCATGTACAGTATTTCCTTCACTTCACATTCATCTTTGTAAATAGCAAGATCACTGAGCTGAAAACAACAGGATAAAATATATCAGGGTCAAATGCCAAGCTCTGCACCTAGGGGAAAAAGAAACCCAAATGCATAGTTAAAAGATGGGGGATAATAGGCTCATGAATACTGCAAGTGGATGGCATTGTAGGTCACAAGCTGAATATGAGTTAACAATGTGATATTCCTGCAGAAAGGCAAATACCATTTTGTCCGTGTCAATAGAAATACCTCTTCCAAATCATGTGAAGTACTAGTTCCTCTCCGCTCTGGTTAGGCCTCAGCTTGAGTACTGCATCCAGTTCTAGGCACCACAGTTTTAAGATCAAGATAAACTGGAAAAGGTTCAGAGGAGGGCTACCAAGACAATCAAGAGACTGGGGAAAAGCCCTGTGAGGAAAGACTGAAAGAACTGAACATGTTTAGGCAGGAGGAGACTGGGTCCAGGATCTCTTCTCAGTCATCCCAGAGTGCAGGACACAGTGGGCTCAAGCTACAGGAAGTCAAATCCCATCAGGAAAAACATTCTGATGGTTAGAGCAATATGACAATGGAACCAATAACCTAGGGAGGTTGTGGGGCCCCCTATATGGGAGGTATTCAAGATGCAGCTGGAAGCCTTTTTGGGGGATGATTTAAGTTAGATACCTGTACTGAGTAGGGGATTGGACCCAATGGCCTTATTGGCCCCTTCCAATTCTAGTATTCTGTATTTCTATGACCTTTTATTTTGTGCCTTAAATGTTGGGCAGACTGCTGGAATTTGTGAGCTGGTACAAAACAAGAGCTGTCTAGGGGGGATAGTCACAACTAGATCCTGCAGATACAGGTTTATTCATATGAGTTCTGGGGGCAGAAAATGTTTTGTTTCAGCTTTTTAGTCTGTTCTGTGAGTCAGAGGAGTAATAGCATGGTATCTTTACAGCAATTGTTGATATTTATTGCCATAATCATAGCCATAACTATTAACTATTTCAGTGTACCAAAAATATTTAGTGAAGAGTATAATGGGTTTTTAAAGCTGAAACGCACAGTCCAGTCCTCTCTGTACAAGCAGATGTTTCTCTGCAGAGTAAGTTTATGAAATTGTTGTTCAGGGAAGTTTCTATGTACATCCTAGCCATGAAAAATCTTTCAGGTCATGGGCCAGCCAAGAGTTCAAAATCTGTTACACAATCTGTTACACAATCCTACACAGTTTTCTTATCCTTGGTATTCTAACTACAGGGCACAGAAGCATATTTGGTCCAGGGCAGAATTGTCCAGCTCCTCCAAAGGTCAAAACATGCTCATATGGTGAGGATCACCCAACCTGTGCTGCCATTTAGCGTTTTTCCTTCACACTCTGCAACGTCATAGCCTCTGTGACTCAGATGTGTGGGTTTTATTCCTGCACAAACCTGTAATTTGGAATATTCTAGAGCTGAGCAGAGTCTTAAGTGGGGGTCCCAGCCACTCCTTTTCCACATGCAGGTGTGGTTCCCATCTCCCGCTTAGTTCATTTTCATTTGCCACAGCAATGTTCTCTGTTTCACAATTCTTTTTCAAAAAGCTGCAGATGTCCCTCCTGTCCGTCATTCAGGGAGTTCTTTTAATTTTATCCTCACTGTGCAACCTTTTTTCCCCTTTCTTTTCACCTTTTATTATCTTTGTCTACATCTCATCTCCTTTAAGGGTACCTCGCTGCCAAGGCCATCTTTAAAAAGTGTACTGATGGTGATGGAAAGATACAAATGCTTCCTTTGTCTGGGGAAGGACACTGAGTTGACTACTGCACTTACCATCAGGCCAGATTTAATAGAACAGCTTGTCTCTGCACGCTGTTGTGGGAATAGACCCTGCAGGCTTGCAGATTCAGCAGCAAAGAAGCAGCTGCTTCATACTGCTTCACTAACTATTTGCATGAAACCAATAACACCTGTCTCCCTACTGTTCGCCCCGGCTCCTTCCTCCAAGGACAGAGCCATGCTGCTATCATCCCTCATTTGGACAAATCCTCCCTGCAGACACAACATCCTCAAGAGGTCACCCGCAAATCTGGCACTCCAGTACGATCCCACAGTCTTTGGACGACTGGTCAGGACAAAGAGGGCCAAACCAACAAAGTTCTGCAATTAGACGGAGGTCCTGCTGGTAGGCAGTTCAGCCCTTGAGGTGAGTGACATCTGCCCTGTTCTGGACAGGATAGCACTCGCCTAAAGGACTGGGTGCACAGTTTGGGAGTGCTCCTCGACCCGGAGCTGTCCCCGGAATCTCAGGTGGTAGCGGTGGTGAGGAGTGTGTCTCTACAGCTTCGGCTGGTCTACCAGCTGCGCCCTTACCTGGATGTGCACTGCCTGGCAACAGTGACCCATGCTGTGGTAACTGCCCAACTGGATTACTGTAATGTGCTCTACATGGGGCTGCCCTTGAAGACATCGGTTTGTTCAGAATAGAGCTGCCAGGATATTAATGGGGACCAGCAGGTATTCACATATAACGCCAGTCCTCTATCGCTTACACTAGCTACCAGTTGAAGTCTGTGCCCAGTTTAAGGTACTGGCACTGATCTATCTATAAAGCCCTAAAGTTTAGCCCTAAAGGGCCTAAACAGCTTGGGTCCTGGGTACCTGAAGGAGCACCTTCTTCCCTATGTGCCCTCCCGCCCCTTGAGATCTGAGGCAGAGGTCCTTCTTTGGAAGCCCTCCTTGAAAGAAATTAGGAGGGTGGCTACCCAAAGCAGGGCCTTCTCTGCGGTGGTGCCCCGACTGTGGAACACACTCCCCAGACAGGTTCACCTGGCACCAACACTTTTTTCCTTTTGGCTCCAGGTGAAAACCTTTTTCTTTTCTCACTATTTTAATTGCTAATGGTCTTAATTGTGGTTTTATATTTATTATCTGATGCTGTGCTATGTTTATTTTTATCTTATTGTTGTTGTGAACCGTCCTGAGACTTCTGTGATGGGACAGTATACAAAAGTTTTAAATAAACAAACACCTGTAGACAACAGAGCTGGAACCAAAAACCATAAGAAGACTCATATGATCCGTTCTGCTTATGAGCCATTTGGCTTTGTCACTAGCCTTTCCTCTGACTTCACGGCCAAATTTACCTAATTTCAGAAGTTGCCACCTTGGCTGAGGTCAGCAATTCATACTCTGGAGAAACTACAGCTACTTGATCATCACTCATCTGATGAGATCCAATGCATCAGATTGGTATTGGATAGTGAGAAGCATTTTCTATTTTGATTCTTAGGCAGTTCTAGTCGCACATGAAAACTAGTGGCTTTGACCAAGTATGTGTCTCCCCATTTGCAGGACTCATCCAGGTACTTCAGAGAGGTCTGGATGAGCATTGCAATGCGGGGATGCACTTCTTTATCAGCTACACTCATGCATGGAAAGCAATTTCTCCATGTGGAACTGACTTCTTGGATTGGTTCATCCTTCTTTTGTACAACATCTTGGCCATTTTCAGTATTTCACAAATGAACGAACAATTTGAAATGTATAGATGGCATGTGTGTGTTTCTTTTTCTTATGAAAAGTATGAATTCACTATTGTACCTACCTTGTCCAGTTCAAAGCCTGGGATGACTTACCATCACATTTTATGGGGAAGGGGGGGAACCATATTACAAAGAGATATGTAAGTATATTAGACAGCTCAGTAATACGATCATGATTCTGTTGCCAAGGAGCAGCAAGCATGTAATAAGCAAGAGTGCTTTTGCATATTGCAATGAAAGATTTGATCTAAAATTAGATATTGTTTTTGGTATGCCATAGCAGCATAAAATCTTTCCTCAGAATAACACAGACCAGGAGGAGCCAGGAAAAATGAAGTGCGTGAGTAGAGGAGTTTCTGTTTGATCCAGGGGCTGATTTTCAGTGCTTGTAGGAAAGATCCAGGAGATGTAGAAAATGGAAGGTACCATGTCAGAAGGAAGGTGATTTGAGAACCAAAGTGAGGGGGGGAGAGCTGTGGGGAGCAGTGGGAGAAACATCAGCCTGTGTAATTGCTGGCTTTTCTGAGCAAGCTTGGCTTTTTTCCCTCCCTCCTGCTCTTGCAAACCTGAAACCTGCTGAATAATTCATAAAGATTAGAAGCACCGAATTTTCCCAGATTGATATATATACCCTCTGCATACTGTAAAGCAAAAGAAGCAGCTCCAAGTCTTCAGATGAGCTGCTCATCCAAATCATCTTGAGGCTGTTCCCCGCAGGGTCCTGGGACTCCCTTGTACTTCCTCCCCCCACCCCCTTTTTTTTTCTTTTTCTTTTTTGCTGATTTTTGCCTGCTTGGCTTAGGGCACTTCTTGTTGCCTCACATTTTTCTGACTGGTAAGCTAACTTCATGCCTGCAGATGGTATAAGGTTGCATTCCTGCGTGCTACGGAGCTTTCTTTCTGCTTGCCTGCCTTTCCAAAACCCTGACTCAGATGATCTATCTGGCTTTACCTTTTGGGGTCTTGTGGTTGTCTCAGAATACGTCTGCGTCCTCCTCACTTAATTTTTCGAAGAACCCCTTTACGTCTTTCTCTCTCTTTTTTTTACATCTGCTAATGAATGACTCTGAATCTGACATGGCTGCCACACTTGTGTGTGTTTCCACTGGGAACCAGTTTCTCTGCCTCTTTGGATATTGTTGCTTGCCTTCTTTTGAAGCCTTTCATGCTTTGGACCTTTCCAGCTGGCTACCTTTGCCCTGCCTTTGCACAATCAAATAGATGGTTATCGTTTTCGTAATGGGTCAGTTTAACCACCTGTAGAATTGAGAAGTGGGGAGGTTTGTCTGGTGGTGCAGAAGAGCCTAATTTGTGTGCAACAGCATGCCCAACAGCTCCACCTCATCCTTCTCTTGGAGTTTCAGATCCTTACAACTGCTGCTTTCTGAAGAAGACACCCTAGGAACCAAGATCTCTTTGTCTCTCCTCTACTTGCTCTTGGCCATCTCTGGGACTTTTTCCAATGTCATAGTCATTTATCTGGTCTTCACCTTCCGGAAGCTACGCACCACCAGTAATGCTTTCATTGCGAATGGCTGTGTGGCTGACCTGAGTGTGTGTGGCCTTTGGATGCCACAGGAAGCGGTGCAGGGGCTGCTGCCTTCTGGTTCCTCTATGGCTCATTCAGAAAGCTATCGCTTGCTCCGGGTTGGGCTTGTAGGCCTTGGACTCATTGCCTCCCTACTTTCCCACCTCTTGGTGGCCCTAAACCGGTATGTCCTCATCACCAAACCACCCATCACATACCAGGCTGTTTACCAGCGGAAGCACACGGCCTGGATGATTGGCTTGTCCTGGGGGTTGGCCCTCCTCCTCGCCTTGGTTCCCCCATGGCTGCAAAGCTGGCAACCTGGCCAGTGGGAGCCCAGAAATGCCACCACCAGCAAGAGCTCTAACTACACCAGCCTGCTGGTAGCCCTGGCAGTTCTCAGCCAGACTGCACTGCTGCTTCGCTGCTACATGGGCATTGTGAGGAGAGTGCGGGTCAGCGTCAAGCGGGTCAGCGTGCTCAACTTCCACCTGCTGCAGCAGCTGCCCTTCCCAGCCGCCCCGCAAGCTCCACGCCGGGTGCAGCGACGCTTGAGCAGCATCTCCGTGTTGCTCCTCTGCCTCACGTTCCTCCTGGCCACACAGCCCCTGGTGTGGGTAAGCCTGTTGGGCTGCTTCTTCCGGCCCGTGCCACGCGGGCTGCAGCTGGCCAGCTGGCTCCTCTTCTGCTCCCTCTCCGCCTTCAACCCGCTGCTTTACACCTGGAAGAACGAGGAGTTCCGGCGCTGCGTGCGTTTGGTACTGCCTGGAGGGGAACCATCAGCTGCCGCAGTGGCTGCCAACACAGCCCTCCCCACAGTGTCTCTTCCCCCTCAGGAGCCATCCCAGCTGAGGACCAAGGTAGAAAGTATGGGGAGCTTAGTACTTCAGTGACCCACCTGGGGAAACTCGTCCTCACTTGAGTGAAGAGCTGTCGGGAGGCATTTGTCTGTAATTGAACATGACTCACCGACTAAACTGCAGCGTCCTCCATGCTCAAAGGAAAGGCTTTTAGATGCTGCCGTAGAGACACTTGTCAGCAGCACTGGGGTTGCTGGGTGTGGAATGTATATATTTGTATTAAATTGCTTTCATAGTTTGTGGAATTTTACCGCCATTTCGTGAAATCAAGCTGAGGAAAGCATCTAACATACCTTGAATTGCCTGTCAGGATCTTAAAGGTTTAGTTTTTGTTTCTGTCTGGAAAAATTTGCATTCCTTTCTTGACTTACAAAATGCCAACAGGAACTAACTTGTCACAGAAGGGGTGCTTACTGATAGAGTACGTGTCCAACCTTCACTTTCTGGCCGCCATTTTAGAGTATCATGAGTAGCAGGACGTGGGGAGAGAAAAACACACACACATGCATGCATGCACATGTAAATCTCTGTGTTGCTTGACAAGGCAGGACAACTCATATCCTACGTTTTCTTCTCTGCCTGTTCCAAAAAGGTGAATGCTGAGCATTTGATAGTGGAAAAATCTTGGGGACAGGATTGCTGATGGCATCTTTTTGCCTGGCATATGAATTGTAAAAGTATAACGTTTTAGTACAACAGTGACTTAACTCTTAGCAAAATTCCCATCATTATGAGAAAGCAGGGAAGAGCCCATGGGGAGGTGCAGATGGCTGTGATGGTTTGTGGGATAGTGAGCTGCATCCCTTAAAAGCCCTGCTTAGCCAGGCAGCTGATTGGGTAAGCTTGGTCTAACTCTTACAACTAGCAGTGCTGTTGTGATAATTTTGAGGAGTGGGGGTTCATCACAGTGGTCCTCAAAGATGCTCTTCCTAGGAGAGGCCAAAATGCAGGCCACTGTGTTGAGCTATATCAAGAAGCTACTTACAGCAGTTTTTGTCTCTACCAATACTATATTTTAAATAAAACAACTGGGTCTTAATTGCCTATTCAGGCCCAAACCTCCTCCAAAATAATTTGTGTTATAAGAGGGGACAGTATATTGTTGATACAAACATTCCTTTTGCTCCAGTTATTGTACAGATTGCAGCTAAACGCAAAGTGAACAGGGACATCGGCAGCGGGGGGGGGGGGGAGGGGTGGTTGGTCAGGGTTCCCTTAATCAGAAAGTGCTAGTACTATGTCCCTGAGAGCCCTGGCTCCATTTTGTAACTGATAACTAGTCTTTGTGGACCTAACAGACCTCAAGGGATCAGGGGAGAAAAGGTGGGGAACAAAGCAGGGATGACGGCAATAGTGCAGGTGTTTCTGGAGTCACAGGATGCACGTGTGTCACCAGGATGTCTCTCAGCACACCCTTTAACCAGCAACTATTTAACTGAATGGGAGCCATTATATTTGTTTACATGGGAGGAAGTTATAATATTAGCAAGGAAAGGGGAGAAATCTGTCAGGGAAGGAGTAACACACTTTCTCTTGTGTGCGCTCGCTCTCGCTCTCTCTCTCACTGACAACACAGCACTCAGAAATGTGAAGTATTTTTCCCATTGCTATTGACAGAACATGGCCAACAAACATGGCTTTTTCTACAGAGCACAGTGAGCAAAATGCAGGTCCTCAGCCACAAAGCGTCAACAATGTTAATTTCAGAGAATGTGACAATGTAGAGGGACAAAGGGAAGAACGATGGGAGGGAACAGGATGGGTAGGTGTCCTATCAGTTATTTGTTTAGAACAGTGTAGTTTTCCGTTCCTCATGCCTTAGAGCAGAGGTGGGAAACAGCCTCCAGCATCCCCATCTGGCCCTTTAGGTTCCCCAAGGGGACACCCCCACTTGCCTTCAACCAGTTATTGTTCAGTGATTTCTTGGTTCTGTTCAATTTTCCCTCCATGATAAAAGGTTGAAATGCCTCTCCAAAAGCTTACTTATGACCAGGAAGAGCTTTAAACTATAGCTAGTTAGTTAGTTTAAACTAAATTTATTTAAAGTTTTTCTATGCCACCCCATTTCTCCAGACAACTTACAAAGGATAAAAAAACAAAAAAGAACAACAAAAAAAATGTATATGCCAGTACATTTTGTCATTTTTGCCCCTCTCTTTTGCCTTTGGCTTTGTCCTCTACTAGAATGCAGCCTGCAAGAGCCTCACCAAAAAGGCTCTTGGAGCAAAAGCTTTCCCACACTTTGTAAAAATTAGAAATAGGGATACTTTGTGAGAAAACCATCTTCAAACACTTCAGTCTCAGTCTTGCTGGTGATCTGGATTTTTTTAGTTTTGGTTTACATATTCATTCTGATTTATTTAGAACACCCACAACAAAATATTCCAGTCCTGAATGCTCCTATTCAAGAGTGGCTCCCTTTTCCAGGACACTCCTTTCTATTGCACTTTCTCTGGCCATTTTTCCATCCCCCAAATTACTAGTTCGGCATTTTGTGGCCTCTATGCATGCCCGATCATTATTGGGCTTTTTAGGGAATCCCCATCTTATTTTTTCTCCTGTAAAGTACGCATTTTGTTGTACTTCTACAAATCTTAGATTCTCCCAGGCCAGCTGATACCTTCATCTTACGAACTGTTTTATTTTCCTAACATGCATGCAAAGAATGAATTCAGTATTAGTAAATAGGATTTAACTACCACAGTCTTAAGAACAGAATTTTCAACAGCCTCTTAAGAACTTTCTTGAGTCTACATTCTTCTTTTTCTTGAATCAACTAACCTAAAAGTCATGTGTCACCTAAAGTAAATTTTAAACAACTAAAAACAGCCTGACAAGCTCTTAAGAAAAAGTTCTGTTGGTACAAGGTTGTGTTGTGTTGGTACTGCAAAGGTCTGCTTGATTTCTTGGTGTTCTGTACTGACTTATCTCTTCTGCTTTCTGTAAAAAAATTGATTACCTAAAGAGGTATTGGAAGTGGGTTTTGAAGGTGTCTTTTAGCTGGCAGAACAAATTTCGCCTCTCTGTTGCAGCCCAAAGCACAAGGCCCAAACTGGCTCCAGAAGGTACCACTGAGGGGGCTGCAGGAAAAGGGAAAATCCTGTTGCCAAAGTGGAAGTCTGTATACACCATACTGGATACCATTGCAGGCTGTGAACACTTTTTAAAGGAAGTGGAAACTTCGCTTTATGATTGGTGCAACATGATAAAATAGATTGATAATGCAGGCTCCAGTCCAGCAAAAGCTTGCTGTTCACTAAAGTGGTAATTCTCAGCACACTGTCAGTAAACTCCACTGAATTCATTGGAGCTTACTTTCACCAAGTAAGCGTGCATGGTAAGGTTGGGCTGCTTGCACAATCAGGCTGAAATTAGTGGCATTTTCATTTGTGTGGTTGTAACTAGCAGCAAAATCCTATGCACTTTCTCTGAGTCCCACTGTGTTTTCTAGGCCTTACTCACAAGTAAGTGTCCATAGGATTACAGCCTTAGTCAACACTAACTTTAATTGGATCTGGGGCCAGCCTCATTCTGGGTTGTCCAAAAGTTCTAAATTCAAAATTTAGGGTCTCAGAAGTCCAAACTGGAAAAGTTTGAAAAAGCAAAAAGTTGTATGTGATTGCAAGCAGATGGATATTGTCTCTGAAAAAAATCCAGTTTCTAACCTGGTGTGCTCAAGATGTGCCAGTCTACAACTCCCATCATCCTTTTCCAGCATACAGACAATAGGAATTACAGTCCAACACAGTGGGAGGCACCAGTTTGAGGAACACTGCTCTAAGTTATACCTGTCGCCTCATGCACAGCTTGGTGCCGATTGCCAAATAAAAACAAGATGAACCTTTAAGGACTGTAATCTATACTGGTGGAGTAGAGAAAGGTCCTTTTGTTATAAGGATTTGGTTGAACAATGCCCTCTGTGGTGCTCAATTAGACTGCCTTAAGCTTACATTGTTTGTAAAAAAGCATCACCTCAAAAGCGCTGACTTTCCCAGGGCTTCTGTGTTGCTTCATAAGCAGCTGGAGATGAATTCAGAGGTTTGCATCCTAGGAGAGAAAGTCATTCTTGGTGGGTTGATAAAACTGCATCTTGTGAGATCAAACTCAGTTTCTCAACTGAATATTGCAGAAGTACAGTGATGTGCCGGCCCAAGACATTTTGCTGCCTGAGCCAGAGCACATCGAGGAGCATAGTTGCCAAGGCTGGCCAAGTTTTGTTTTGATTTGTTTGGCACCTGAGGCTAACAATTTTAGAAGTGCCTCTACTCTGGCAGCTAAAATGAACCCATAATGTCTTAAATAACTAAAACTATATTGTCTTTTCATGTCACTCTTTATCAGCTGCTGCCTCGTTCAGACAACTGGGAGGGCCAGCCCCTGTGAGATTTTCGCACATTACATCTTAAAACTGACTTCAGACTATAGGTTATTCAGTGCAGTCAAATAACATAGTAACAGTCACAGCTGTATTAACATAGCTATAGCTATTTATTTAGAAAATTTCTATGCTGCCCCTATGTATTATATGTATTCTATGTATTCTATGCCGCTCCTATGTATTCTATGTATTATATAAAATATAATACAATAAAATATAAAACAAGTTTACAATATAAAATAAGTTGCCCTGGCTGAAGAATAAAATAAATAAATAGTATTAACAGTTAAAATGACGTTTGAATAAAAAGGTCTTCGTCTGGCGCCGAAAAACAAATAACGACGGCGCCAGGCGGACCTCTCTGGGGAGCGCATTCCATAGATTGGGCGCCACCGCAGAGAAAGCCCTCCTCCGAGTACCTACCCTCCTAATT